GCCCAGCCGACGCCAGACGACGCCAGGGCGTACATCCGACCCCTTGGGAAGCAGCAAAGTGCTGCGCCTGCCACGAAATCTGCGCCGGACATCCGACCCCTTGGGAAGCAGCAAAGTGCTGCGCCTGCCACGAAATCTGCGCCGGTGCCCAGCCGACGCCAGACGACGCCAGGGCGTACATCCGACCCCTTGGCAGGCAGCAAAGTGCTGCGCCTGCCACGAAATCTGCGCCGGTGCCCAGCCGACGCCAGACGACGCCAGGGCGTACATCCGACCCCTTGGACTCCGACCCCTTGGCAAGTCATGTTGTGTGTGTGTGCTGTTGTGTGTGAGACGTTGTGTGTGGGACGTTCTCTGAGTGATGTTGTTGTGAGAGATGTTGTAGTAGAGTGGCAAGTCATGTTGTGTGTGTGCTGTTGTGTGTGAGACGTTGTGTGTGGGATGTTCTCTGAGTGATGTTGTTGTGAGAGATGTTGTAGTAGAGAGGCGTACATCCGACCCCTTGGCATCCGATGTTGTGTGTGTGCTGTTGTGTGTGAGATGTTGTTGTGAGAGATGTTGTGTGAGTGATGTTGTATGCGAGACGTTGTGTGTGGGATGTTGTCTGAGTGATGTTGTTGTGAGAGATGTTGTGTGAGAGAGGTTGTAGTAGAGAGAGATGTTGTGTGAGTGATGTTGTATGCGAGACGTTGTGTGTGGGATGTTGTCTGAGTGATGTTGTTGTGAGAGATGTTGTGTGAGAGAGGTTGTAGTAGAGAGGAGGAAGGAGGAACGCGGAAGGCGGAGCGAGGAGGTGCAGCAAAAAAAACAATAACCCCACACAACAATGTGGGGAAAAATATGTAAAAACGACAAAGAAGCATCCTTACCACTGACGCCGACATCAAATTCTTACAGCGGGGTCCTTTGTTTGCCTTGCTCATCCTTCAGCTCTTTGGCATCAACCTGCTCGGAGAGAAGTGCGTTATTTCCTGGAAAGACAGAAGCAATGGTGTTCGGGTTCTCAGAAAACCCTTGGACATTGACAAAGCCACACTACTTCAGGTGCTTACTCATCAGAAGATTGTTCAATTGGTGTGAATTCTTTCACAGTCGTGACGAATTGCTCAACTGGTTCGGATGCGACAATCATTTCTAGTGAAACAATCTCATGGTTGGCCCCATCAGAACATCACGACACAGCTGTCAAGTAGCGGCAAAGCTAGCAGATTGTTTGTGGGTCACACCCTTTGGGGACTTGTGTCGTGTGGTCATACAATTGGAAGATGTAGTCACAATGCTTGATTCTTCAGAGCCGAGGAACGCGCAAAAATGGTCCTTGCAATGCCGGCTCTTAGTTTGAGCTGGAGTGTATCCTGGTTTTGCACCTTGCCATGTTTCTTAGATTTTCTTAGTGAGTTTATATGCGTCTGACATTCAGGTATCTGCAACTCTTCCTACGAGTGTCCTTTGGCACTTGCGACAACAGCCGTGCAACGTTGATCCTGATGTTTTAGATTCTGGATGAAATCAGACTTGCTATAACTTTGCAGGGCGCGTTACTTTGATCGCCGATATGACGTGGTTCCATTGAAGGCCCTCAATGTCATAAAGAGCCAACAATTTCGACGTCCACACGATGTTGAACCTCCACCACATCTTTGCTTGCAAAAACGAAAGTCCACGCTTCAGATTCAAACGACGAATAAAAAATCCTTGCAGTGACCCTGTCCAGCCTCCAGCTTCCTAGAGAAGGGTCGGCCATCGATGAGTTCGAAGTGAAGCTTCGGAAACATCTTCGCCAAGAACCTTGGTGTGCTCGACCGTCGTCTATCGATGGCTGGACGAGAAGTGTATAATTGATGTGGGTGCCCGTCTGAAACTGGATTTCGAGTGTGCGCAACCCTGGTTTATATTTGTTCATATTGAATAAAACAATAACTTCACACAAATCATGTTGCTGGCGATGCTAAGGCTGTATATAAGCATCGTCAGCATTATGATAGAGTGCAGGTTTGTCAGTATGGGTATGGATGGAAGTGTGACTCGGGTCAGTCATGTCTTTTGACACTGTGTAAAAGAAACACGTTGAGAAAACTTCTAAATACAATGAAGCGCTTTGATAGCATGCTAGTGTGCGTTGGCACCAAGAATCCTTGCAACACTCTAAGGGTTGGGTCTGCACCCCCAAAAAGGAGCACACCACACTGGCTGCCGGGTAGCGCAATGTGAGTTCCCGGGGCAGCTCCGGCATACCTCAAGAACCAATTGAATAGCATCACAAGGAACAGAGTTGCTCTTAATTGAATGTACATGTTTCTCCGCCTCACCTCTCCGGCCATGCTGTGTTATGATACTATTTGGCTGCTCCCTGTGCACAGCCACTCTCATCGGGCTTTAAAGACCACCATCTGTGAATGTTGTGCCACCGGCATAAAGAGGCTCAAATCGGGCCAGGTTGCACCACACATGTGGCCTTCTCATAGTATCGAGTCAAGAACCTGAGGTCCAAATCAGCAGAGATGATCTGAAGTTTGAGAAGTCCACGTCGCATGCCGTGGGGAGTGCGTGAGCAAAGGGTCCCTATGTAAACCACAATGAGCTGCAAAGCTCAAAAAGGATATAGCATGCAAGAAAGCATATTACAGCAGTAATATAGCATGATCTCTCCTCGCAAGGTCGAGAGCACGTTTCAGTTCTCTACCTTCACTGCTAAGATTTGGATTTCTCTAGGAGGGGCGAGCACAAAGGACCGCCAAACAATCATGCCCTTGCCATGGACGTGAAATAAGCGACCCTGGATACTCTTCGAAGTGGGGAGCTTGGACCTCTTGTTTTCTTGATTCATGGTGGGTTTGGATGAACTTCTTCAGATCTTTGTTACGTATATTTGCTCTCGACCTTACGAGGAGAGCTACAGAAGACCTTCCATCTTAGATCTCCCAACGAGTCCAGCGAGTCCAACGAGTTGGTTCTTCAAGGTCTTTGACCAACGCCCCCTAACTTGGCCGAAGAGCTCGATCTCTGCCAGGATGAGCTTCCGTTGACCCCAGTGCAGGACGGTTTTTTCCTGAAATCAGTCTCTGGCTTCTGCTGACGGAACATGAAATAAGGACCAGTGAGGATGTCCAGAAGTAACACCACTTTGGCACCACTAGGAGACATCAAGCTTTGAATAGACAAACTGTGGTCCCCAAAACGATTCTACATAAAGGTCATACACGGCCAAACTCCATTGGCAAGATCGTTGGGTGTCACTGCTGCGGGATTAAGCGATGGCATCACACCAGCCACTGCTCACCTAGGCCTAGGCTGACCGCAAGGACCTCCAAGTTCTTGCGAGGCGCTTTCAGTTTTGCGTGACTTGTAAGGTCGCTCCTCAGCTTTATCATGATCAAGAACACGTGAAAACTGGAGGTCCTCAGCAATGCTGTAGCCTTCCTGCCAGAATGCAAATGCAGTTCTGAGGACGTTTTGCACTGAGAAGTGCACAAGTGCAGCTGATCTTTTTGGTTCTGAGGAACAGCATAGTATAGTCTATATAGTAGTTAATGATTCAAGAGAGAAATAAAGCTGCATTGCAAACATGCGCGTGTACAGACTATAGTATAGCAAAGGAGGTCACTGGCTTGAACAACAAACAATCAAGAAGCAGGCCAATTTGAGGTGCCCACAAGCTCCTGCAAGCCTTGAGCACAGTGACGATGCCAGTCTAGCTTCTCTTTCACTTGCAACTCGAGCTCCTCACAGAAAGTCATGTCTGTCACACGGTCACAGTGTTGCAAGCTCAAGAGACTCACGATCAGTTACTGAATTATATATATATTGGCTGTTCTATTCCCGGCCTCCAGAGTCGGATAAGTCCCAAGCAAAAGCAATGCCTCTCAAGGTGTCATGCATTCCTTGAGTCCTGAACTCACCAATCATAAGGACTTCCCTGGGGCTTCAAAGCACCAAAGAAGCAACTTGAAGCCGGTATAAGTAGGTCGTTACACTGCTTAGAATGCACCCCTGACGCTGTAAGGAAGCTATCTTTGCAAACCTCTGATGCTTTCCGGCACGGAAGGCTCCCACTTGCACCACCGTCCTTCACCTTGTCTAGCCCACGCTTCTCGGACATGGCGCATGGCTTAGGACAACAGGCGCATGTCTAATGCTGAAGGTCTGGTCAGGATTCTCCTCGCTACCGGTGAAAGTGTCCCAGCCTACCAAAAGATAGGAAAACCCACCCTCATGCCTCATGCTTATTCCATGCAACGGTCATTTCAACCAATCATGTGTCATCTCCTTCCGGCGTAAAATACAAGTGTATATATATATACATATAATTATTCACTATTTGTTGTCCCCATGGTTCATGCAGGTCTGATCTTGGGTCTTTTCCAGCGCTCTCCGTGTTCTCTGTGGTGGAAACGCAACCTTTGTCAGTTGAGAGGGCACAAATCCACTGATGAGGCCAACCCGCTCTTGCCACAAAATAGGACAAACACTGTGCACGCAAACACAAAGCAAAACCAACGTGCTTCAGATCGGGCTTCCCTTAACAGGTCGCGTAATCACCACCATAAGAATAGACGTTGCTGATCCCATATTGGCTTGCTTTTAGACGCTCATCGGCAGGGGTAAGCAAACCATGCCATCTCCCACATCATCCAATGTCTCCAGGGCCGCAATCGTCTGCAAGACCTGATCACATGGCAAAGATACAGCGGTTCTACTGTACAACAATGGGCGGCTTATGGGCTCGAGACCCCCAGGCATCGAAGATGCGCTTCACGACAGAACGTGAGAAGTTTCTACACTAGTGATTCGGTATGCGAATCGGCACGCATGTCTTTCCACACTGAACGAGCCCTCGAATCAATTGTCCCTCGCCCATGGTCCAATTGTAGCCCCCAGCTGAGCGGGAGAGGCATGATCATGCCATGACTACAATCGCCTCCAAGCGTCCGACAGACCAACAGAGTGATAGCCCCAAATTACCAGGAGCTTGGAGGCTCACAGAGTGTTCAGACTTGTACTCCGCTGCCTGCTATAGAAAATGTTTGAAACTAACCTCAACTCATGCAATAGAGGGTTAAGTTAACCTCATGCCCTTTGAAGCACTAGAACGATCTTCTCTCAGGCATCCCCACGGTTGCCAGTGCGAGGCACCGGCGCTCCGGTGGACCTGCACATACAACTGGCGACATGTACCAAGTCGGATCTCATGCACCTGAAGAGAGAGGGAGAGAGAGTGAGAGAGAGAGAGAGCGCAAAAAAAACAGACAGACAGACAGACAGGACAGGACAGGACAGGACAGGACAGACAGACAGAAAGAAATAAAGAAAAAACAATAAAAATATATAAAGAAAGAAAGAAAGAAAGAAGGAAAGCAGGAAAGAAAGCAAGAAAGAAAGAACGACAGAAAGGACATAAAGAAAGGAAGGAATAATGAAAGAAAAAACAAAATAAATAAAGAAAGGAAGAAAGAAAGAAAGAAGGAAAGCAAGAAAGAAAGCAAGCAAAGAAAGCAAGCAAAGAAAGCAGGAAAGAAAGCAGGAAAGAAAGCAGGAAAGAAAGCACGAAAGAACGCAGGAAAGAAGGCAGGAAAGAAAGCAGGAAAGCAAGCAGGAAAGCAAGCAAGAAAGACAGCAGGAAAGAAAGCAATAAAGAACGCAAGAAAGAAAGCAAGAAAGAAAGCAGGAAAGAAAGCGAAAGCAGGAAAGAAAGCAGGAAAGAAAGCACGAAAGAACGCAGGAAAGAATGCAAGGCAGGTAGGAGAGGAAGAAGGAGAAGTAGAGATTTAGATGTGATTTGGATTCAGATTTAGATTGTGTGCATGTATAATGAAAGCAGACATGAAGCACAATGTGTTAACAAAAAACACGCCATTTTATTGTTTGAAAGGCCTCCTTGAGGCTTTGTGCGTGTTGTACTGGTGGCATTCCTTCAAGCACTATGCCTAGAATGCATTCTCCCTGTGATGACGCTGGAGTTGCTTGTTGGGATGACAACTGACAACCAGGGAATGTGTTTGAAGCAGTGGGGCGAGCAATGGACCGTTGAATAGCTGTGAACTTCTGCAGCTCAAGCACAGGTGAGTTATGAATGAAGTTAGACTTGTTAGACACACGACTCTAAGATCAATCTCTTGCATCCAAGCAGGCTCGCCTGTTCTGGGCCTCTCATCTTCTTCCTTGCAGGCGAATGATTTGAGATGCTCATTCAGAGCTAATTGAGCCATTGCTTGACCCTGTGGAACCCTGTATTCCACGGCAGCCCCGCTCTTGGTAGAAATGTTGCCACCATTTTCAATGTAGCTAAAATAATACCGCTCCAACCCACTGGAGGTTAAGCCCAAAACTTTTGTAACCTTCTTGGGTGAGTCCTTCGTGTGTGGTTCTGAATCAGGCATTTACAGTGATCAATGCAAAGTTCGTCACAAGCCACAAATGCCATGACACTTCCTCTCAGATGGATGTTGTGTCTGGATGAACGCATCAAGTGGCATGTCAAACCGTTCGGATCCCAACAGTCTCAACACTGAACATCAAAGCATTACAGGGTCCTGGTTAGGAACAACAGAACACTAGACTACTGCCCAAACACAACAAGTCAACGTCAAAGACCGAACCTCCAACCCCTTCCAGTTTGGTGTAGAGACAAGTCCGTGCGATGCCGACAAGTCTGTTCTGCGCCTCCCATCCAGACCTCAGTCTCGCTCTGGGATAAACTTGATGGGCTTCTGGTGGCGAGGAGCCCCGATCTCAATCCCAAATACCACCTTGAGAAGTGCAAGAGAATCGTCCCAAGGTACTTTACTAGGAGCATTCGCGTCTGCAATTTGGTGTGTATGGGCAAGGATCTTCTGAAGGGGGTCGGAATCGGGGCTCCAAAACAACCAAATGACCCAGCGGCAAAACAACGTTTGGCTATTCCAAGCCAGTGGCCCACGGCGTGCTGCGAGTGAAGAACATAGTTCTTGAGCCACCTGGCAAAATGCCGTGGCAGCGGCAGTGCCTGGCTACAAGAACCATTTAGATCATTTAGAAGCTTGCTGTTCAGCGAGCAATGGTCTCGTGTTGTTGATTGAAAACAACTTGCAGTAGCATGAAATTGGAAAATATATGTAGATATCAACCTGCTTAGAACAAAGGCCAACATTCATAGAGGAGCTGGCGGATGTAATGCTCGAAGACTAGAAGATTCAAGCCGATACCCTTCAGATCCCTTGGGTGTGTGGGGGTTCAGCATGCTAAAACAGCAGCCTTTTGCTCGTGAGGTGTAAGGTAAGACGCAGCAACCAAGAGATCAATTGTTGGGAAAAGAGTATCAGTATAACCATGCTAACTATGTACATATTCCCACTCCCAGCAAAACTGTTAATTGTTCCAATTGTGGGGTCCTCCCCCCTAAAACCCCTTCTCCACCTGAGCTGCAGCACCTCGGCGTAGTTGGCGGTTGGACCAGAATGGCCCGAACGCACCAACTGTACAACTATATGTAATACCACGTGTATGTATATATATATACGCAATATGCGGTAGAGCTTTGAGAGCAGTCAGCCTCGTTGAGAGCCGTGAATCGTTTTGCCTGAGATACCTTTGGTGCTCTCACTGCATCTTCTCTGACCTTTATATTTCAGGGTGTGTTGCACCGTTGGCTCAACGAATCATAGTGTTTTTTTGACCTTGCGTATCGTTGATTTTGTGGCTTGCTGTCCTTTGCCAAAAGGCCAACGCATTGCCAAACTTCAATAGTGTCCGAGGGCGCGACTCCTTTGAAGAAAACGATAAAGCGGAAGCAAGTGGAGCAAAGATTGGTACCTGCGAGTATAGGCCCGCAGAGAACTTAGGAGAAAAGGCTCAACACCCGGTACACATGCATGTGTGTATATATATATATACCTGAGAAGGGGGGGGACGAAAGCCAGCCACGGTAAAAGATATCAATATGGTCACGGGGGGTGAGTGCGAGATCCCTGGTGAGCTCCCCACCTCTTTTCCTATCACATCCTCCCCCGCTATGCCTATCCTGCACATGAACTCCCACTCCATATGGGGTGCCCTTTTGCGTCTGGTCAACAGACCTCTTCACAACACCCCCGAGCAACTCAAAGCTTGCCCGCTGCATTCTGCCCCCTCCCTGTTCTCAATGGGTCACATCGTTTCTTGCAATCCCTCTTTTCCTATCACTTCCTCCTCCGCTATGCCTGTCTCATCCACATGAACTCCCACCCCATATGGGGTGCCCTTTTGCATATGGTTGACAGGCGTCTTCACCATAAAAAAAAGGCATCCCCAAGCAACTCCAAGATTTCTTGCAAGCCCTCTTTTCCTATCACGTCCTCCTCCGCTATGCCTGTCTTCCACCTTCCCCACTGTTCCCTATCCTGCCCTCACAGATCACACCGTGTCTTAAGAGACACACACCTCCCTTTCACCTCGAACACTATTTCAATGGCCACCAGAGACGCACATCTCCCTTTCTGGAGGAGTTCCAACCACTTTTCGTGCCCCGTTGTCCCTCTTTCCCATCATCGACATGAACTCCCACCACTGGTAGAAGACGCTCTAGATTGCGTCCTGAGCCCCTCATGATGCTAATGATGCACTAAAGGCCGTCAATTACATCACCTGCATCACAACACCCCAAAAACAACTCCCAAACTCCAAGTAGTTTTCTTCGCTCTCCCCCACCTTCGCTTTTTACCAGGCTCTGGGTTGGCCCCCTATACTCACTTCGTTCGCCCAACCCAACTCCAGCCTAGATTATCGGCTGGCTTTCGTGATATATAGAGAGATCCTCATGATGGCCAGTTGAGGCAAAGGGTGCAAAAACAGGCCTCATGCAAACTGAAGTACCGTAGATCTTTGAGATTTCCACCTGTGTTGCTTTCTAGTGCAAGGATTTCACTGCCCAAAAACAATGTGAACATCAGCACTTGACTCGGGGTCATGTCCCCAGCAGTTCGTGACATTCAAACTTCATGTAGGAATGTGTGGGCGCTTTTCAGATTGGACAAATTTCTGTGGACAACCGCAGGCCTCAACGTCCCTCCACTCTTGCTCCGATGCCGTTCGAAGTAGACACGCTGTGCCCAGGGCCTCAAATTCGACGGGCAAACGAATACAGTATTGAGTTGGGGATACCATGACTGGTCGATTACTTGGACATCTGGAGTTTTCCTCGAACTTTCTGTGGTTGCCCAATGCGTTCAGACATACAAGCAATGCGGAAGGAATGCACTCAGATATTTACAGAGAGGACATTCTTGCCGTGCTGCAACGCTCGTCTAGTGCCGAAGAAAAAGGAATTCCACAAAGACAGTTCAAAACATATATACTGGGATTCGTTTATGGTACAGCCACAGCATCGAATATTTCAACTAAAACACAGAAGGGTCAGCATCCTTTTCATATCCAGACAGTCAAGTGAAGCCAAAAGGTTGTGTGGTGCCAATGCTCATGACTCATGGGCCAATCAAGATCTAAACAACATCCCACTCTACTAAGGTTTGTGGCATGTTCATGCAATTGGGATCTCATGCGCTACTCCATCCTCCTTTGCTCTGGGCTGTAACGCTCATGCAGCTGAAAGTACCCCACACTTGATGCCAGGGGACAAGGCTGGGTTTACCAAGCTTATCAGCTTTGTGTGAGACCATACACAGTCTGCTGCACAAGTTCGTCCATCTAAAGCGCGAGAGTTATACTGTTCACTCTTTACGTATTCTCTATATATATATATATATATTGCGTCCGCCTCGAAGCTCAAGGCCTTGGTCATGGCCTGGTGTCGATCTCATGTCCTTCATGGACATGTCAAGCTCTTAACATGTACCAACTCGCAATGACCGACATGTCCTGCTCAGAACCTTCATGGATCAACCTTTCCGTCTTCACATTCCTCAATGTGCTGTGAAGGTTCTGGGCCGGGCACGTCGTGATGCGAGCTGCTAGCGCCCGACAAGGATGCCAACTTTTCGTTGCTGATCTCATCGGCAAGCACCCTCATCTGTTCAACAATGAGACTCATCTGCTCACTGTCTTGGTAAACACAGGCCGCCTCCCAGGAAACTGTCAAAAGAAAGTATGTTCTCTCCTTTGTTGTCATCGAGTCCCAGCGTTCTTGACTCATGCCAGTCGCCTTCATTGACTCTTTGTCATCCTTCGCACCTTCATACTCTTCATCATTCTCTTCTCTTTCTTCAAAGGGCGCAATCCGACCATCTCCTGCCGGATCTGGAAACAACTCCTGTGGTGTAGGCGATTCCAGCAAACTCATCACCTCGGACTCTGTCGGGGTTCCTGGTGCTTCACGGCGATCCTGTCTTTTCTGTAGGATGTCTCGTTTTGCCTCCGAGCTCATCGATGGTGTTCTCCTCCTTTTCTTCTGCTTCAGTCTCTTCTCCAGATCAAGCGCTCTTACTTCCTGCCGTTCCTGTTTGTACTCGATCCTGATCAATCGGTCAATGACTTTTGTGATTCTGAAATTGTGTTCTTCTGATATATCGTCCATTTTCTGATATGTAAAGCGGTTGCTGTCATTGACGAAATTGGAGAGTTTCTTGAAGTCTTCATTGACTGCATGCCTCAATCCGTCCATGTTGGTCAGCATGATGTTGTTCTCAGAAAACATCTGTGAGAGTCCAGCATGGATCAACTCTTGGGTCTTCCTTCTCTCGGTTCCCAGGATGAGGTTTGTAGTCGTTGTCTTTTCATCAATTCTCTTCACAATCATCACCATCATGATCAACATTGCTCCCAACAACACTGCTAGAAATTCTGAATTCTGTGAAACTGTTGCCTTCATCCCGATTGCCACCGTCAGCATTGTCACTGTTGCAACAAGAGCGCCTTGTTTGTACAATGCCAGGTCCTCATACCATCCAAACAGCTTTGTGAACTCAACTGTGTTGTACCAAAGGGCTGCTGTCAGTACAATGATCAAGCGCGCAAAACTCAACTCCCATGACCATGAGTGCAAAATCGTCCTTACGTCTTGCTCTGCATTGACTGGAAGGAACTGCTGTGCAAATGATAACATCAGTACTGCTTTCGTGTTCACACCACTGCCTGGGGATGTCGTGGATGCTGAGGCTGTTGTGTTGGGGCTGTCAATGATCTCATCATCATCGAGCTCAATGGGCAACTTGTTGATTGCTGTTGCTTCTTCATGATCTTGAATCTTCTCCGGCTTGGGCTTTTCATCTGGGCTTTCAAGCTTCCGGCTCCTTGATGTCTCTGGAAGACGTGGGTCTGGTCCAAGAGTCCATTTGTTGGAAAACAGCACATCGTTCAGGTATGCCAATCCCTTCCGATGTAAGGCCTTTGTCAAGGCATCGGCCAACTGCTGCTCTGATGGGACCCGCTTGCATTCTATTCCTTCTTGCAAACTCTGCCGGATGATGGCTGCTTCGAGCGACAACCTTCTGTCTGAGAGAAGCACTCGTTCCGACTTCATGCCATCATATAGGGATCTGCAATCTGTGACCGTCACTCCAGGGATCTTGTGTAGATGCTCTTTGTATTGCTTCATGTCCAAATCACCATGCAAAATCTCCAGAACTGTAGCACGAAGCCAACTGAGGGCGTCCAAAGCTTCCGAACAGGAATATGCTTCAGCACTCAATGTAGACCGCACCACGCGTTGGATCTTCGAAGATGTCCAATGCACAAAATGAACATGATGCACTGAAGTCCGATCCTTCATGATCTGTGGTGTGGAAATGCCCAACCAGTATCCCTTCTGGCTTTTATGTCCCGGTAGATTGTTGAATGAAGCATCGTGAACTGCAACCACTGAGATGTCATCCGGTTGCCATGACATTCCTGGTCTGTAAATCAACTCCTCATCCTTGTGGTACTGCTTCACCTCACGAACAAGCTTGGCTGCTTCCTTCAAACTGGAAATCTTCAAATTCTTGATTTCACTAGCCAGTTTGCTCACCTGAAAGCCAATTGCGTAGCCCATGATCCGTGCATACCACTGTAGTTGACCTAACAGTCCTCTGAAAGCTTTCACCTCACTTGTGGTCAAAGATGCGTTGTTGTCCTTGCCACGTTCTCTGCTGACTTTGTAGGTGCTCATGGTGTCGATGTAGTCTTGTGCGTGCACATGGATTGTTCCATCTTCTTCCTGGGTGTAGGACCGTCCACAAAACTTCAATGCGCCGTCCGTTCTCCATTGTCCCCACTCGACTTCTTTCTGCATCTTCTCCTGCATGGATTTGCATTCATCTGGAAACTGCTTTTCATTCCATGCAATGAGGACATCATCGACATGTAGTGCCAGGATTGCAATCAGCTCTCGTGTTGTAGGGTCACGAAGCACAAAACCTGCCAACTCGAATGTCAGACTTTCCCAGCCAAGTCCTAGGAGGATTCCCTTGATGGAATGGTACCATTGCCGTGCAGCATCATTCACACCATAAATTGACTTCTTGAGCTTCAACAATGAACCTGGTTGAACTCCTGGAATCTGAGCCTTTCCAATGTTTTTGGGGGGTTCAAAATAAAGCTCTCTGTCGATCTTCAAACCTTGAAGAAAAGCACCACGCACATCAGCAGCTGTGAGCTTCATGAAGCGAGAGGAGGCCAAACTGCAAATGATCTGAACAAGCAGGTTTGAACATGTTGGTGAATCTCGCCTGAGCGACTCATCGTATTCTTCTTGAAATCCTCGACCAACAACTCTGCATTTCAAGACCAGCTCCTCCTTCTCATGTGCTTCTCGCTTCTCATCATCTTTCTTTGTCCATACTCCTCTTGAAGAAATCACCTTCTCTGGCGTTTCTTTTCTTACCTCCTGACTTTGCTCTGGAGGAATGATGTCAATGGCATCAAACTTCTGCCATGTCCCGATTTCTTTCTCCACCGCCTTCTGCATTGCCTCCTCGATCTCTTCCTCCGTGAACTGAGAAAGTTGTGCCTTCATCCTTTGTGGATTCAACTCTGTGCGCTTGTTGTGCTTGGTGTAGGTGTCCAATCTCTCAGCTAGAAAAGCAACACACATGGTCTCCTTCTCCTCAGGCGTGAAGATGCTCTGTGAATCTTCTTGTCCACTTTCTGCCTTTTCTTCGAGCCTTCTTCGGATGACACCACGAACTGACTCAGGCACGTCGTCAAGGAGTAGATCTCTCTTTCTCTTATGCTCATCATCTTGAGAAATCATGGAGGGCATACTTGGAGAATCTTCTGGAAGAGGAACAGGCTGTTCCTCAATGTTCTGTTGGTTTGAGCTTTCCAACTTCTTCTTCCTCTTTCTTCTCTTCTTGCTTGAGCTCTCCTCAGTCTTCTTAGGGCGACGAAGACCTTTGATCCTCCGAGCTTCCTCTTCATCATCGTCAGCAGCTTCTGTGGTCTCCTCAGTCTCGCGCTTCCTCTTTTCCTCTCTCTCAATCTTCCTCATGGCTCGAACTTCACGGGATTCATCACCACTTGAGGTACCTTCATCTTGGTAGGTTGCTGCCATCTCACCTGCTGCCTTGGGCGACTCCACATCGTTCTCATCTGGTGGTTCCGTCGGCTCATACTCATTCTCTTCATCCAGATCGATGGGGTCCTGCGGCTTTGAGAGGTCTAGGAAACCTTGTTGTCCATTCTTTGGTAGGAGACTGCCTTCATCCTCCAACATCAATTCTTGTTCTTCTGCAATGGCCCTTCTCATGTTGTGTGGATGTGCCAAAATGGGAGTGCCTCTATGGATGATCCAGTACCCATGCAAATCTCTCCCAATCACCCGCGCTGGTCCATGCCATTGCTTGTAGGCCTTATGCTTCAGTCCTTTTCTCTTGTACATCACAAGCGAGTGCATGTCAAATGGACCTGGTTGCTGTCGGGTTTGAGAAAGTAGGGCACGACGAAGAGATGCGGAATGATTTGCTTTCACAAAAGCATGTTCACAATCTTGAAGAAGTTTCATCCGCTGTGCCATGGCAAAATGATCATCGTGATCTGTTTTGGGAATGCCTCTACTGTCACCCATGATCTCCGGCAAATTTGGTTGAAATCCCAAAACACATTGAGCTGGCGAAAATCCACGATGATTGGACAGCCTGTGGCCTGCACACAATTCACCACAGCAACTCTCGTCAGTATGGCACCTTTGATTTCACTGTCGTGAGCCACCTTCATCATCATCTCCTTCACAGTGAGAATCTTTCGCTCCACAACACCATGACTCCAATGTGCATCTCTTGCCACCAAGATCTCCTCGATGCCAAAGCGATCTAGCAAATCACGGAAATCGCCTCTCAGCGACCCATCTTGATCGACTTGGACTCGATCCGGACTTCCGAAGACTTCCATCCAGTCAACAAGCGACTTGCGGCATTGCGAGGATTGTGGCTTCTTTGGTCGACCTGGAGTCTCACCTGAGCACAAATAAGAAGCAAGAGTATATGATGTTGCCATGTCCACCATGAGCAGGAAGGAGTGCATCACATCATCTTGATCAGGGATGTGAGCAATGTCCATGGCCACACACTGATTGAAGTGATCATACTTAGGAATTGCGGCCATCGGTCGTGCTGGGCTTCTTCTCTCCTTCTCGCATGTAGGACAGGTAAACAAGGATGCTGCCTTGATTGCTTGATCTGATGCGCCTGATAGCCTCAAATGTCGGCTGAAGTTCTCCTTGTAGAGAGAGTGGGAATACTGTCGATGCACCTTGGTGATTGCGCTTCTGAGAAGCACGGGAACTTCTTCCCAAGTCGAAACATCACATCTGAGCTTCTTTGAAGTGCATTGCGGTACACATCTTCTTCTTCAAGATAGTACTTGACTTCTCCACACTTCTCCTCCAAAAGAACTTGTCGCTGAATGCCTTCTAGAATCATGACACCAAGTTGGGGTGTCCACTGTCCCAGCATGGAGGAAATATTCTTGCCATCTTTCACCCCACGACCTTGAACTTGTGCATGTTCGTGATCTCCTGTGCATCTCAATGTCAGCATTGAAGCCAAAACTGGAGAGGATGTGACAAAGCGTGTCGGCTTCAAAACAAAGTCTCCATTGATGTCTTTCAGATCACTTGCACACTGGTCCATGCGGGATGTGTAATGCGGCACATGTTCAATCTTTTCCAACAAAATCTTCCATGCCTGACTTGCCAATGGGTTCTCCAACAAATAGTGTCTTCCTTCAGAAATCTGAAGTTCGCAAACCTGCCTCACAAAGTCCAGATGATCGAGGGCAATTTCTTGTTGTACCCTTCGAGTGTCTTCATCCAGAAAATTGCTGAGGGGCGTCCAGGGATCACAATTGAAACCCATCGTGACAAGACTTGGCTTCTCAACCTTGATCTCTGCCAAGATCCAATCACGATCTTCTTTCTTCAAGAAGTTGTCTCCCAGCAAAAGATCACGTGGTCGTCCCACGGGCATCTCATTGTCCTTTGCTAAGGCGGTCACAACTCCACCATCTTCACCACTGTAGAGCTCCTTTACGATCACCCTTTTCGCATGGGAACGATTTCCCCTTCGGAGTTCTTTCCACAGTGCTCTGCCGTGCTCTTTTGCCTCTTCTGCCATCTTTTGAACTTTTCTTCTCAACTTTCCTTTCATAATCCTGATGGTCTCCACGTTGAAGTCCTTGGCTTTCAATTGATGAAAAACCTCCACCGTTTCTCCTGCCAGCCGTGTAGACTTCTTGTTTCGTCCACCTTGTCCGATGTTCAGCAACAAATGTCCACCAGTTCCATAGTCCATCTCCACCTTCTCTGAACCAATGGTTGTGAACTGGATGGTAGGCTTGGGTGTTGCTGTAAGGTCAATCACCGCTCCCAATTCCCTGAGCTGAGGTAACCCAAGGAGCAACGGAACATCTGAATTGGGAAGGCGATGCAAAGCCACTCTGCCCTTCTGACCTGCAATGTGAATGTCAATCCATTGCTGGTGATGAACCATCACCGGGGCATCTGCATTCACTCACTCCTGCAGCTTTGTCTCACTTCCGAACCGTTCAACAAACTTTGTCCAGAGTGCGATCACCTCCGCAACCGATCAATGCTGCCGTGTCCACCACACATCTGCCTGCGGGAACTGCTCCACTGCTGGTGTTGTTCATGAATGTCAAACTGTGCGGAATTGCTTCTGCCTCATGGTTCTGGGTCATGTAGGCATCAATTTCGCTCACCACTTCACCATAGTCCTCCAACTTCGGAATCACCTCATGGTCTTCCTCCAGGTGAAATGCTGAGTCATAGCATTCGTCCACCAACAATCCAACACATGACAATGCTTCGTGGCATGACTGAAGCAACTGCCCTGATGCTGATGCCAGCATTGCTGCTGCCATCCCTGCTCGCTGTAGAAAGCCACCTTTCCTGCCGCCCTTCTTTCCATGTCCCTTCTTGCCACCTTTTGAGCTCGGTGACCCAGGACTCTTGGGGCAACTTCGATCTCCTCGCCAGTGACCTTTCTGACCACAATCGTAGCATTGTGCGCGAGCCTTCACCTGTTGGATCTTGTCTTGAAGCTGTCCTGCATTGAGTGTCAACTTGCCATCTAATGCAATCGATGTCTTGTTGTGACCAATTGCACTGGACTGCGGCTGAAAACCACGGTTGGTCTTCCCGTCTCTCACGGCCTGTCTCTTCCTGGCATATTCGGAAGCACCTTTGCCCATCTTTTGGATGGTGGCCGCGAAAACGTCCAGCTCCTCACTGGTGAGGTCCTCAACTGCCATGATCTCGACTGCATGCTCCATTTCCTCGATGTCATGTTGAATGTCCTCTTCAACCTCATAGATCGGGATGTCATCATCCGTTGGCTCTTCTGCATACCATTCATCAATGGCATAGGCCTCTTCTGTCTCTCCATCATAGCTTGACCACTCTTCTTCGATGGGAAAAGCCCAAGAACCTCGCTTTCCGGCACCATAGTTGTTCTGTGAGCGGGACTTGTAGCTTCCTTTCCAACCTTTGCCTGTCATCTCATCTCCGCCATCAAGCTGAATGAGCATGGCCTCCACGATCTTGTCCCAATCATATTCATTTCCAGCCTGACCCAAAATGGCTCTGTGCTGGCTTGGGTTCACACCTGCATTCCTCAAAAGGAAAAAGGCCTGGAGGTCCATGGAGAGCTTTGTGTGACCTTGTGTAAGTCCTGTCAGCTTCTCATACTCGCTCTCTCTTCTGCTGATGTAGTCCTGGATGCTCTCTCCCAAGCGGCGCCGTCCCTTGTCGAAGAAGTAATCTTCAAAGGTCTGAGTCTTCAACAATGGAGCGACCTTTTCACATGCAGCTCTGACCGTCTTCACCACCAGCTGAACCGCTGCCTTGGGACCTGCATTGGCGCTCGTCTCGGCCTCGCTGAGCTGGAGGAGCTTCTGGGCCGCGATCTCCGGCTTGCGATGACAGAGGGTCCAAGCTCTTCCAAATAGAGCGTTCTTCAACTTCGCTGCATAGCTGACCTTGTCATCCTTGGCGACCGTCTGAAATCCCAACCAGACTCTCTCCTCATATTCTTCAGCCAGCTTCGGGCTTCCATCGTAGTGGACCACATTGGACTTGGGGTCAACAAAAAGTGACTGTCCTGAAGAGCTCGACATCCTCAAAACTCAAATAAAATCCGTGCAATGTGAAACTTGAGCTTCCAATCAAAATTGTGCAATGAATTCCCAACCGGCAACTACCAAGGGAATATCCCACCAAATACTCGAGAAACGGATTCCGGTATTAAAGTGTTCCAAGTCGCCCTGGCCAGCCCAAGAACAAAGCCTGCTCTATACAACAAAGCAATGTCCAATTCCAAGCTCAACCGCAGGGGTCAAAGTGACCAGCACCAACAGCACCGATCTCTATGGCGCGCCCGACCGTGAGCTCTTAGGCTCCGCCTACCAGTGTCAAGTCCTATACGAACCCTTGGCAGACACTTTTGCGTCCGCCTCGAAGCTCAAGGCCTTGGTCATGGCCTGGTGTCGATCTCATGTCCTTCATGGACATGTCAAGCTCCTAACATGTACCAACTCGCAATGACCGACATGTCCTGCTCAGAACCTTCATGGATCAACCTTTCCGTCTTCACAATATATATAACTATATATACATATACTGACCTGCCCAACCCCAGCCTCTCTAGGGCACAAACGCAAAAGCACAGGCCACCTGTGAGCAGGGCGAACAAACCAACGATGCCGTCCGTCGGGTGTCTTCCTGTCACCCAACCAATGAACCTGCCGGTCGAGACTAAGAAACATAATCGAGTTGGCTGATGGTTCACGTCCAGGGCAAATGTCCACAGTGTTTCATTTTCGCGCTTTTTTGTTCGCTCCTTTTTGGTCAAGTTAAGCCTGTCGCCCTTGGCGGTCAGCACAGCACAGCGGCACATCTTGTTGCCCCGACTGTTTCTAAGGAGGTATGCAAAAGGGAAAATGGCGCAAGGTGTTAGAGCTGTCTGTACACATGGGTTTGGGTAGATTGGCTGGTCGTCCTTGGAAAGGCAATTAGCAGTATAATATCACTAGATGGATTCAGCTGGAAAGGGTGTTTGGGGATGGGGAATGACCCAACAATTCTCTCCAGCAGGGTCAGCAAACACGATTCAAGCAGTGTGATCACGGCAGAGACAGCTCCTATGTGATTCAGATTCCAATCACCAAATGTTTCTGCTAGCTGGGCCTTTAAAAATGACCTGAATACTGCCACGAGTGCTGCGCGATTCACAGGAGGTTCAGGTGAAATCTATGAGCCACAAGACCAGCTGAAAAACATTTGACACAGAAACTTCTCATAGACCTCTTCTGTGGCTCAAGGTGAAACTTATCTATCTCAGAAGCAAGTGGATGATTCTGGGGTCAGGGCAATCCAATAAGGCAACAAGGACAAAGTCACCTTGACGTGGCTTCTGCCAAGGCGGAGAAAAGTTTTGAATGATGTCCACAAGCTGATAGACCCTGACCCCGGATCTGAGGAGTTGGGGAACCAAGCCGCGTCTTGCAGCATCCCCTCGTCTCTCATCGGTCCAGCTGCCCCACCGCCGGCAAGCGACCCTTCCGAAGCGTCCACGGCAAGGTCCCTTGCGCCTGCAAACCTCAATGGGACGACTGCCCCACACGTCGGATGTTTCCACAAAATACAACGATACAACTTGTGATTGTCGGCCAGGCCTTTCTCAAGAGCTCCAACCCCCACCAAAGGAATGCTGTAGAAGCCAGTTCTTTCAGACCCGGGTAACCCTGCTGGTCCCAGAGATTCTTGAAAGCCAAACACGCACAAGCTTACACTTGCACGCACACATACATACACTTCTACAATTGGGATCTCTTTGCCACCATGGAGCCGCCGCGAGGAGTATAGCGACTCATATCGGCCTCCAATGCCGCATGCCTTGCTTGGAGAGAGGCCTCTTCCACACGAGCGGAGAGAGCACGTTGTGCCTGCTCCAGCTCAGCGTTGTTTCGAACCTTCTCCTGATCAGGGCGGTGGAGCTGTTGCGAGCATGGCTCTTTAGCGGCCGCTATCGGTTTACTTCTCAGTATTGATTAGTTGTCTGTGGAAAGAACACTTGGCAAAAAAAAACAAAAAAAACATTTGTATGGGCATTCAGCAACAGAACAATTCAAGGCAGCTGCTTGAAACTCCCTGTTTCTGACTCCTCAAGTTTCAGCTGCTGAAACTCAAGATCGAGCTGTCGATGCCTCAGGACCGCTGCTGAAGATGCTCGAATGGGAAGGTGTATTGTTGAACCAAGTTTAGCATGTTTCTTCGTCATGGGCTCTCAGGTGTGTTGCGAAGGAAGGCTCAAGTAGTGGATGTCAGCCAAACAGTGTGATTGGAAGGAAAATGAAGGAATCATGGATGAGCTGTGATGAGCTGTGGGACTCTGCTCAGATTCCCACGAATACACTGCAGCCCATCCTCGCCTCTTCCTACCACCTTTTCCGACCTCTTCCCTTTGACCCTTCCGCCTCACTTCCCTCAGCGTGGCATCCAACTCCCCGCCCAGCTCCGCCACGCGCTTGTCCTTGGCCGATAAGTCGGCCTGAAGCTCTTGGAAGCGTGCCTGGCGCAAGAGGACATAAGTCATTAGTCTAAGTCTACGGTGTAGGGAGGCTTCGATCATCCAACTATGGTGCTGGTCGGATTCGGGTAAATTGTTAATGATACACCTACCAACTCGAGGAACGGGAGGAACAGTTCAAGCTTCCTTTTACTCACAACTGCTGTTATGACCATGCCAGTAAGTAGCCGTCATGCTGAACTTGCTTCAAAGTAAAAGCCATAATAGCTGTTGAACCTCCAAAAAGATTCATATTCATATATATATATATATGTTGAGTTGCGTAGTCAAAAATAGAAAACTGGATACTGGTTGTAAATCTGTGGCTACTGCACTCTTTGCAAATGTGAGCCCGAAGAATGAACTTGACCATCGTGAGCAAAAAAGTGATCCAATCAATAATGAAGGCTAGTTCACTAATATAGTATAGGTTACTTAGGTTGGACAGTCGAATCATCAACCCTCAACCAGCCAGAACATACGTCCAATCCAAAGACTGATAACTCGGGGCTTCAAGGATCCTCTTGAAACAAAAGTGGCTGGCATGTTCTCAATAAAATACGTCAGAAATGAACTTGCTGTGGCATTGGCACTCGCACCAAATTCCCCGGATCCCCCTTCGACCTCGGGCCTCCAGGGCCTTCACTTCTTGATCTCTCTCGGCTAAGGCTTGGGTCAAGGTGGCCACGTCGATGGTGTCCATGACTCCACTGGAAATGGTTGGAATCCTCATGATCGGCTGCAAAACTGACCCCAAACGCAGAAAGAGTCCATGAGGAGGCCTAGACTTGGATGACTGTCCATCAGGCGACCCATCTTGCAGAGTTCAAAATGAGGAACTGGCAAATTGATCAAGGTCAACCACTGCAAACGACGTGAATCAACAACTGATCCAATCGACACGCATCGTCAGTGTTGGTACGGCCCAGTGGTGAACATACTCCAGATGATGGAAACACAAAGACCAAAGGCTTCATGCTGACGAGCAACAACTTCCGAACCTCAGAGATCACTCCGGCGCTGTGCTCCTCTAAGAGTTTCCGGATCTCATCCTTTCCCACACCGGTCTCCAATGGCTTCACGCCGGGCGCTGGCCGACGTCCGCCCGGCGGCGGACCACTGGGTGGCACTGGTTGAATTGAGGTCGGTCCCGCAGCACCCGAGTTCTCGATGGAGGCGAGGATTTCATTCAGCTCCTGTAGGGATGAGGGATCTGCTGGTTTGGGCGCGCTGGGTATGTTCATCTATTTGTTTATGCTAAGTATTCACTGGAGTGTGGATCCTCAGGGATCTTCCAGAAAGGTTGCAAGGCAATAGGACAACGAAGGATTTTTTCCAACCAAATGTTGCCCCAGCCCTTCAGCTCCTCTGGCTTACATTGGTCAAGAAGCTGTGCAATCTCATCAATGGTGGAGTCCGCCATGTCCGGTTGGCAATGGCAAGCCTTCGACGGGCCTTGAGCGAAGATGGCTGCAATTCTCCTGGGCTGCCCTGTGCTGCAGAACATGGGTGGTGGTGGTGGTGCAACTCATTTGGTTCACAGGTTGAATCCAATGACTCCAATCGGAAGAGTTGTTCAATCCGCTGAACTCTGCTATTCGCCCGATCGGTTCCCCCAATCCACCTCGATGAAGACTGCTAGGCGCCAATCTCCCGCAAGAGCACCTGGCCTCAGGACAATGCCAAAATTGCGCTTTGAGGTTCAAAAAAAAAAGTATCTACATCGTTGTCTATCTTCTCCAGGCTTGATCCCTGGAGGCATCGTCAACCTCCTCTTCCAGCTCCATCCCAACTACGTGATGCATCACCCCACAAATAATGTAATCGTTCTGGGTGCAATTCGAGCCAAACAGAATGAAAGATAACAGCTTCTATGTACGTTCCACGTTGCTGAGAATCACTCCGAAGAGTCTCCCCCAGACTGATACGGAACGCAAACCCGGACGTCCAAAGAGTTATGCTTCTTCTCTCTGGCCAAATCGACAGATCCTCTCAGCTCCCAGGCCGCGCCAGCAACCTTGAAGACAAGGCAAACAAAGAAACGACTCACCAGACGGTCAGGTCGCACTATGCGGTGATGTTGTGCTTGCGCATGTTTGTGGCGCTCCCCTTGTCAAACACGTGTATAAAATAGAAAGCGTTCTTGTTCCTAGTAGTATGGCCAGGAGCCCCTAGTAGCGTCCTTGCTCCTAGTAGCGATGCCAGGAGCCCCTAGTAGCGTTCTACGTACCTTTGAAACCTTTTGTGCTCTGAAAATGACAGTCATAGTATTCGTCACATGTTGTTACATTGTTGAAGACCGCACAAGTCGCTGAGGAAAAGGTACTTTTGAACCGTCCGGTCTCCTTGCGGATGTCGATTGTCAATCGATAAGTCTGCAAAACTGAGTCTACACACGTCCAAATCAAATCAATGCTAATCAAGCACATGGGCCATGCCTGCAAAAGAGGACTCGAGCAAGAAGAAAAGAAACGCTGCTTGTGATTGAAAGTTTCGATCACAAATCGTTGAGCGGAAGAATCCTACTCACAACCTCCACCATCCAACTCTCCCTGCTTGGTCCATGCTCGGCTCCCCCGGCCGATGGGCCCACTTCACGATCCGCTTCAGTCGTCGGATCGTGGGCCTGGGCGGGAAGCTGCCCGCAATGGCCACCTCGGTGCGTCCATCCCAAACCCTGGATCCAAGCGAAGCTTTTCTTCCCGAGGTGGAAAGGGCCCTTAGAATGCCAGAGACACTGGAAGTGCTCTGGAGAATACCCGGTTTTTTGCAGGAAAAGGACAATATGACAAAATCTCGACATTCCCTACCATGACTTGGCCTTAGAAAACATCTTTGGGTCACCGCAACGTGGTGCTGAAGGTTCACAGAAGGGTCCACCCCACAATACATTTGGATATATTTGGCTTCCCCCCTGTGTCTACTTCCCAAAAGACCTTGTCCTTTAAGACCATTGTCGAAAGAAGATTGGTCGGTTGGCAAACATCCACAACAACTCTGGGCCACGCCATTTCACGATATAGAAGCACTAGGAGCAAGGACGCTACTAGGGGCTCCTGGCATCGCTACTAGGAGCAAGGACGCTACTGGGAGCAAAGGGCATCGCTACTAGGAACAAGAAGCTACTAGGGGCAAGACTCTGAGACCCTTGGACCACGTGCAACACAGTTCCCATTCTTTGGACCAAGACTTCAGTGGATTCGCTCGAGGCTTTGGGCCCTGAAGGTCCAAAAATAGTATTCTTGGTGTCACGGCTTCTCTCATAACCGTGAAGCTTCGGCCAAGGAGCTAAAGCATTGGCACCAGCTTCCCAGGACTTTGCCACCCCCTGCCGCCTGGTTTCCAGCTCGCCTCATGCGGATGTGTTCTTGCGATCACCTTCAAAGTCCACTCAGGCAGAATTTTCCTGAAGTCCACCTGGTTGGAATCCAACCGTTGGATGCAAAAGGAACTGGAAGTCCAACCCCAAGGCAGTCTTCGTTTGCCTGTACAGGCTCGATTGCGCCCACTATCTACATAATTGGTTCTGGGCTGGGCTGCTGGGCTGAATGATATATCCGACTATACAGTCTAAAGAATGAATTTCCTATGAGGCACTTGGAAGTTAGCGAAATGTGGCATGCGGACCACACATGCAAACCGAGGCGCTCTGGCGCCCAGCCCAGTGCCTGAATTTCGCCAGCGCTCATGGGGGGAGGTCGTCTTACAGTGTGAACGAAGTATCTCCGAATTTAAAGGTAACGCCGCACAAGGCCTATGGAGTATATTAAAGGATCGCAGTATATTGATGCATATCATGATTGCATGTGTATATATATATACATACACATAATATGTATATGATTGTATATGTATACCCTATGCACTCACCAGTGGTATCTATCATCATCGACAAACCGAGCGTGGAAACCAATGAATGTCCTGATGCCACAGGAACAGAAAATCCTTAAACTCATCTGCAGGTTAATCTAAGGGTAGGGTAGTAACTAGTTGCCATCGTCGCTGCAGGGCGCTGGTGTTTTTGTGGATGTTTCACGTTCTACACTCACGCACTGCGTTTGAACGTGTTGACATGGGGTACGTGGGGGGGTGGGGGGGTGGGGCTAATTAGCACACCTGTAGCGTCGTAGTCTATATACTAGGGTTTTACTTGGGTTTGTCTTCTTGCGGGTTCGACTCGGTTAGACACAGGTTTTGGCCACATGCATCCTTTTTTGGCTCAGTCAAGACATCCCGCAACCTTTTCTTCTGTTTTTTTGGTGCGTGTCGTTGGTTCTTTTGTTGCGGTTGGCGAGTTTTGTGGACATAGACGAGGTACCCCCGGTTTTTCGACGCAAACGGTGCTAGGGCGTGGGACAAGGCCGCAGCGTATTTAAAAGTCCCTTGCTTCCATTGTGTGTGCATTTTAAAAAAATGAAAAAAAGGAATACAGTGTTCGCATCACCAACCAAATGGTTCCACGTGGGTTGTCACGCGAAGCGGGCACTCAGACTCTTGATGCCGATTGGAAGAGCTTGAAAAGTTGGCTACCGCAAACAGCCAACAAAAAGCAAGGCAAGGGTGTGAAGGCCACGCATTCAGCAAAGCTGGAGATGCGTGTGTGGCAGTGGGTGTTTCTACGCGAGAAGATGCCTCAGGAGAACGTTAAAGCACTCTCCAAAATGTGGAACACAAAGTAGTTTTGACAAGTGACGAAAATAGGGTGCACACGCGTGCGCTGCAGGGTGACTGGGGCGTCATGAGTGATTTGCCGCCAAGACCAGGTAGTTCCATGATGATCCAACCATATATGATTTTCCACCAAGAATTTCCTTCTGTGCGATTGCCTTTCTAAGGTTTCTATGCTGGAAAACTCAAAGTGGTGCAGGCGTCTCGAAAAGATGTAGCGGCACTGTTATTTTGCATTATTTTGGTTTGATTTGAGGCAGATGGCCAGAAGCATCTTATCAGAACCAGGGGTGTTCACTGTTCACTATTCATTTTCTGAACCCAGGCCAACAGATTCTGCCAAGGCACGACCCTCCCAAGGCCCCAAACGCACTGGTCAAGGCAACCTGGCGACCAATGGATCAAAAGAATCAAACCACCGAAGCAGCCGAACTATCAAGCGCATCTTCTTCGCAGAATGATCCAGGCCTGGCATGTGTCCTTCGATCACATATCTACGTGACCAGACTGTTGCTTTCTTTGGATTGCAATTCTGGAGCCCCGCAGAGCAAGCGCCTTCAGAGGCCCAATGCTGAGAAATGGCAAGGCCGCCTGCATCGCCAGTATCAGGGCGTGCTTGGAACTCAACTCTGAACTACCATGTTCAGTGTCGGCTCACAATGCTGTGACTACGCGGGACCGTCAAATCTGGCACACCTTAAAGAGACTCACAAATAAAACATGCCCATGCTCTTCTTGGGAGCACCAAGCTCCTGTTTCATGAGGCTGGTCAAAAGACACGCCAGTGAGGCAGACCCCAGAAAGGTTAGAGCACCAGCTCCAGCAAAGCCAAGCCTCTGTGATCCAACAAGAACTGGAGGAGGAACGGTTAGTATGCCATGTAAACATCTGAGTTCGCAAACCGAACCATAAGCCACACTGCAGACCGGAAATATCAGCACTGTCCCACCAACACATGACCATCGCACTGCAAACACATGTTCCGGTGCCCTTTGCCCACTGGATTGGGGTGAATCGGTCGGGTGACATGCCAAGCGTTGGCCCTGGCTCACTATCTCTCATGCACCAAGCCATGGTAATTATTCATTGGTACCAGCTACAGTAACCCGAAGGGATAACGCTTGAGCACGGCTCGCGGTCCCTCAATTCGATGCACTCCCTATAGGCTGAGCGGTAACGTGAGGCCTGGGAAGGAAAAAGAAAACAGCTACAGTAAGGTGCAGCAAGGCCCCTTGCTTGGATAAGTACAGTATATAGTTATTCAGTTCTACGATCTCACTGCAACATTGGCTGTGCGTGAACTAATGAATCATTCACCACCTGGTTGCTGCAACGAATCAAAGGCCCCTACACCGCAGCGGAGATGCGCAGCATTTGCCCTTCACGATGCAAATGCCAGGCCTTGGAGTGAAGAACTTCAACGGTAACCAGGCAGTACTCACCAAGTGGCGTCCTTCAAGGAAGGCAGCCTGTGGGACTGGTTTGGGGATGGTGAGGCAATTAGTGCAACTACAACTTTACAAACTCCACTTCTCATGGTTTCACCATCCATTTGCAAGTGAACTGAACGATGCTGAATACCCACCACCGCCTGCTTACCATGAACACATGGTCTGATTTCTTGAGTAACACGTTGAAGAGTGATCAGGTACATCATGTCCATCTCTCAGTTGTTGTTGGGAGAGGCGGAGAGGCTACCCAGACCTAGCAGCCAGCATTTCCCCATAGTCAAGGCGAATCTCTGTGTGCAAGCTCTTCTGGTGTTCTTCCTCTTTCAATGGATGTACGCATAGCCGAACTACCGAGTCAAACTTGTGGATGCAAAGCTGCATTAGTCCAAGAGGGATAAGTCCCTGTCCTCAAGCACAGGTAACTTGTATCCATCGACCTAGACATCGTCCCTTACTATGAGGCTCACCAAGATGCTTCTTTGCACCAAGACTGTCTCAATTTGAGACACTTCAGTAATAGATTAACGCAAAAGCAGTATGTGACTCGGAAAAATCTATGGTGAAGAAACAAACAGAACACGTTCTTTCGCATGTTCGACCGCTGCGTCTGATGACATCGATCCACCGAGCCACGAAATCCTCCTCGAAACTTCGGAGCACCTCGCTGGACATCGCCGCCGCCGTCACTTCGTCCTTGGGGACGAAGAGCTTTTTGTTTTTCGGACGGGAGAAGTAAGCTCCTAAGTTGGCTTCTACATCTTCTAGTAACTGGACGCAGGACAGCTCACGCTCGCACCAATGATTTGGTTCCCAGATTTTGAGGGAACCTTTTTGGGAAAACGAAGAGCTTCTCGAGTGCGGACGACAGTGACGACGGCACTTCAACGAACTCCCAACAGGCCGATGACAGGCCGACCGATGGTTCAGTCAAACCGGACTTGTAATCAGGTGTAACAATGTTTCATGTCTGACTGGGGGTCGGGGTGGGAGTTTAGGGTGGCTTTGAGTGGTTGGGTGTCTCTTCTTCTCACAGCCACTGGTTAACCGGTCAGGCCCTTAGACGGGAGCTTTAGACCCACAGGTCGCCGTGAGCGCTTGCGTGGGTATCTCGCGGAAGAATTAGACCAACACGTTGATCATCTGAGAAGGCAAGTTCCCGCCACCATCGTATGACAGATTCCATGTTGCATGTTCCAGATGGTGTCAATGGACAAGTTCTCATGCACTGATTCTCACACAACCCTGGAAGTCTATCGATTGGTCTACAAGGGGACAAGACTGTTTACATCCACAAATTTCTGAGCCTCGCCTCACATCCACTAATTTCTTCGGACTATTTAGATGCTAGCAACTGTCTCACCGGGTGCATGCTCATCAGTCATTCACGCAATGTTTGTCCAGAGCCCCTTCTCAGTATGGCTCTATATTGAATATAGGTGGGATGTATTCCGCGCTCTCATCTCTACTCAATGGCAGCTAACATCACCATCCTTGCATGCCGCATGCGCCAAGAATCTAAGCCCCGCTGAGGCATTGCCACCATATGGCAGTCGACCAAAGGGGGTAGCTTTCAGATGTACGATGCGATTCTGGTCTCAGCCATCAGGCCTTCTAGCTGATCCATGTTCAAGCCTCAAGCCATACAAGCCGTGAAGAATCAAACGTCAACATCACGTATTGTCAGTCAAGCCATGCATTGTATAGGAAGACAGTGTTGCTGCCTGGTCTAATATCATAATCCTTTCAGATCCCATATAATCACAGCCATTGATGTTGTTCCACTTTGACAGTCTGGATCGGCGACAAGGCTGCTCAGCACCACTACCTTTGAGCTTGTGCTGACAAAGCCAAGAATTGGCAAGTGGAGCAAGAGCCAGGTATGTAACTCAAGGTCCACACATGTCCTTTTCTGGCCGTTCAGGCGTGAAAACCTCGACTTTGACCCCTGTCGAATCATGTGTTCAAAACATATCCGCGGAAGAAAGTAGGAGCAAGTACAAAAGACTGTTCAGGACTTCTCTGAAATCGGTGGCAGCGTAGTATCAAACGCAAATACGCAACAAACCAAACGAGCATGCTGCACATCTAGGACCAATAGAACAAGATAGGGGGATCTAGATCCGGTGGTTCCTGCTGCATCTGCGGTCACCGGCTGCATCATAATCCTTAGTGCAGCTGCAAGGGGGGACGTCTGCAATGAGGGACGTCACTGTGAACCTAGCAGCTTCTGGTGATCACCAACTTTGGGGTTGTGAAAGGGTCTACTTCGTCTACTTGTGGTCGTACTCCTAGGTCCTAAGCAGGATGGCCACAGAAACGAATGCGCCAAAGGAAACCCCGTGCTCCTTCGAGGCGTGAACTGGGCTGGGTGGCTTGGTGAAGTGCCTTCGGACTGCAGTCCTTCACAGCTTCGCCCCCAAGACTTTCCGAAACCGGACCCATTTGGAGAAAAGAAACCAAACCGACGTTGTATTCAGTAACAAGAAGCTAGTAGTAACAAGTGCATCGCTACTAGTAACAAGTGCCTTACTAGTAGTAACAAGAAGCTACTAGAAACAAGTGCCATAAAGGTTAGGCCGCTAGGAGGTAGGTGAGTTAGGTTAGCTAAGTAGGTAGCTAGTAGCTAGGGAGTCGCTAGTACCTACAAGTGGACGCTACTACATATGGACGCAGGATAGCTCACGCTATTCATTTGGTTCCTAGATGTTTGAGGAAACTTAGCTAGTGGCTAGTATGTTGTTGCTGCAAAGCTTTCACTTGCTGCTTCAAAGGGTCTTGCACTGGCCATCTGCTTCGGGTGCGATTTCCCACGACGGTGGTGCCATCACCTGCACATGTTTCAAAGGCGTTGCAGCACCTTGCAGGCTAACTTATGACAGAACACTACCTGTCTGCGTGGCAAATGGCATGACCAAGCGTCACTTGTCAAGCTGGGGCCTCTATCACTTGAAGGCAGAAGAGTTGTCTAGCGTTGTATCTGCAAAGCCATCTGTGAGGCCCGTTTGCCCAACGTCAAATTGCTACTGCAAGCATCCTACCTTCCCCCTGCGCGTTGACATGTTTTAATCTGCCGTCCGCGTCCGCCCATCAGCGAACTCTCTCTGCAACTGCGAAACGGGATGTACAGCTTCTATACGTTACATCTGTTATCCTTCTAGCATGGTCAGAGAGGGTATGCAAGACAAAGTCTCAAATCATTGGGCTTGCTTTTGCAAATGGCCTCTCTTCTGAATGGTTTTACACTGGCTCTGACTTCAAGAATCACCAAACCTACATAGCTGTATTCAGAAACTTGAGACTCCCTCCCTTGACTTACAGAAACTGCGAGACAAGGTATATATTGAATTCGAAACCTTGTTGGGGGGAACTCTTACTCACTTGAGGAAGTCAAACTATATTCGTTTGGGGAAGATAGGTGGATTCGTTTCATGAGCTGCAGATCTACCGGAAAACAAACAGAATCAACAAAAACAAACCTTATTGGATAAGGTTTGTTTCCCTTCTGGCGTTGGAAAGGGCCCTTGTGGCGGTCTCGCATGTTGCGTAGAAAAGTGCACCGTGCCAAGGTCTTGCCAAATATATATATATATAAACCCACAGAATTACACGGTGCACAAATGAGTTTAAACATAGAACAAATAAAGGAAGAGATCTGAAGAAAAGAAGGTAAGGGTCCTCTTTTTAATAAGGAGCCCTACTAAAGGGGCCCTTACCCTCATTTGTTTATCTCCTTTTGCTTCTCATGTGTATAATTTTGTGTCCTGCCACACACCCAGGTGTTGAAGCGAAACATCACATGTCGGATCCCCTCGCTAGTTCCCAGTGTGTCGCCTTCGGCGGCAACACTGGTGGCGTGGATTCTGGACCGGAAGGGGATGCGAGATTCCTTTCGTGCCAGCCTCCCAGCCCGCTAAGGTCAAGAACGAGCACACACCTTTATGATGTCCTATCATGCCTGCCTTATGCCCCATTTGTTATTTTTCTGTTATATAGTTGTCTGTCTGTCTTGCGGTTTTGCAGGACCTTGAAGCACCTGAGAATCCTCACCCCCTCTACCGTCTGCCTCTGATGACTCAGGTCAGAGTCATGCTCGCAGGGGTGAAACCGGACGCCGTATGGTACATCCAGATTCGGACGCCCAGCCCTCAGAAGATAGGGTGCCACACGCCATATCGCCCACCTTTTGCTTTCCGATCCAAAAGGAAAAATCCTCGATAAAAAACAGAAAGATCCCCAATTCTGTTTGTGCGTTCTTTCAACAAACAAGTAACGTCCCAATCAAAGCAACAAATTGCATTATATAATTCCCAACATGGCAACAAAATACAAGCGGCGGCGAAGTCAGTCTACCGGTTCGAATCCTTTGATCCTTTTTGTCCAGAAGACAGTCTATCAGTCACATTCTGTTCCCCACACATTTGGCTTGGAGGCCATCGCTATTAGGTTGGAGGCCATAGCTATTAGGAGCTGTTGCACATTGAAACCAATGGAATCACCGTTGTCCGTCGTTTGGTTTGAAAGGTCTGCACGGTCTGCACGCTGCAATGCGCCTTGCGGCTGAAAGCGGGGGATGAAGTTCGGCTCCGACTTCGCCTTCACGATCAGCGGCTTTCGCTCCACCCGGAGGCGCCTCAAGGCCCCGAACAAATGGGCGCCTTGCACCGTTTTTCATATGCGACTCTTGGATAAATCCCAAATTAAGCATCCATGTTAACACAAGTCGAGGATAAACGATGCTTGTTCGACAGGAACAGGAACAGACACGATAATCCGTTCTTTTGCTGGTATACCGTATGATGACTCAATCGATGGCGAGGTGGGCTGTCCAAGGAGGGCTGGTCTTTCAATGCCATGACTTTGACGGAAAAATCCGGGAACTGCCCAATTTCTTGGGACGACAACATTTAAAGGGGTTTCGGAATATTGATGTAATACTTCATCATGCTTCATCTGTCAGAAGTGTCACATGTGCTCCAATGAGAAATTGTCTGGGATGGCAAGTTTGCAAGGCAAGCTGAGGCGTATGCCAAGTTGGCTCTCGCACGTGACTGCTGCCTTCAACATCCTGGTGTGGATCGCGCTCTTGAGCAATGGATGACAACTCATGGACATGTCACTCATGAAAGGCTCTGATGAGCCGCAACATGCTACATGTGTGTAGGTGAGTAGTCTAGCTTGATGACAGGTTGAGTACACAATAAGGCCTGGCCATTCCCAAACCTGTGTATGTCAGCCCAGCTTGCACGGGCATAGATATAGATAAATTAGTGGTAGTAAAGCCTTTGCTTACAATTAAAATTGAAATTAGGCTCACTGAGTCTAGCTGTACATATGCAGTATGCTTTTTCCGGAATGGCTTCGACATCGGGCATGATCTTCAGACTGGAATAGCATCAGGCCTTCCATCGATCGAAATAGCTTCGCATGTTCACCTGGATTGATTAAATTGGACGTGCGCTGCAGCATCTCTGAGTTCTCTATGGTTCAACATCAACTGTCACTGCGTAAGCTTGTCTAAGCTCCTAAGGCACCGCTTGCTACTTGGAGGTCTTCTTGAAACACTTATTTTCAAGCAACACTAGCAGTGTACCTTAGTCCTGGAATCTGGGGTGCGCACTTGCAAGCGATCATTGTCTCGAGAGAAGAGGATCTTAGCTCAGGCTGCAGCCCAGAGATTCTGGAAAAACAAGCTAAATTACACTATCTGGTTCAGGTTTTTTCAAAGTTAGGACGTCCCATATCGTTTTTCAAAGGAACTAGTACCCACTGCTATCGGACGATTAGACGGAAAGCTGGCAACTCGGAGTTCGATCTTCGGGTGCTTTCTGGGGCACTTGTTACTAGAAGCTTCTTGTTACTACTAGTAAGGCACCTGTTCCTAGTAGCGTGGCACTTGTTACTAATAGCAAACATTGTTACTACTAGTAAGGCACTTGTTACTAGAAGCGATGCACTTGTTTCTAGTAGCGTCCTTGCTCCTAGTAGCGATGCACTTGTTTCTAATAGCTTCTTGTTACTAGTAAGGCACTTCTTGACCTCCTTTGCACCTGTTTAACCTTTCGCGTGGTGCATCCAGGGGAACCCGGCGGTGCCCCGGCTCCACTCTGAGAGGCCTACCGTGTGCTTCCGGTTCCACTTCCCCTCTCGCCTCCTGTAAGCCGGAGCGACTTGGCGACTGGGAGAAGATGGAGGTCGGTATGTTGAAGTGCCAAGAGTTTAGAGGGTCTCTTTCGGAAAGCTACGGAACTCATTCTAAAGCATGCCTTCTGTTGGGAGTGCATGCTTTGCTTCTTTCCTTTTAGTCAAGATGGAATAACGATAATGCCTTTCAACTATGTCATCGCCCTGAGCACTTTTGGCATGCGCCTTGTCTTTTTCGACATGCAAGCCTTTTCAAGGTCCCGAGCTACCTCTGCTGGTGAAACCCATCAAGTTCATCGGTGAAACCAACCCTGCACATTGCGGTAGCTCACTGACCTCCTGGGAAGCAGGCATAGCTGTTGTCGAAGAGACTGATGCATGCCATAGAGACAAAGAGAAATC